CCATCAGCAGCGCGGCTACTGTTTCCAACAATTGCTCCCTCACTAATTCTATCGCTGCTGCCAGACTCGCTCGGGGTGTGGACATTAAACTCAATTTCCATCTGAAAGTGACGGCATAATGGCTGAGAATGCAATTTGAGGTAATGCGGGTGTTCAGGTGGAAATGCTACGGGAAGAGGAAACAAAAACAAAACATTGAAAACAAAACGTTTGTACGTGTTAAGCATGACCTGTTTTGCAAAGATAAAGGTATACTTAAGAGTTAAAATGGTGATTAAAGGTGATATATTATATGAAAGCACAGGTTGTGGACACACGGCTGTTGGCTGAAGCAAATCTATTCATAATCAAATCTATTCATAATCAAATCTATTCATAATTAAGGAAAAGGGAGAATACACCGGATACATGAAAGACAGATTTATTATAAAAGCGATTAGTGATTAAGAACGATTCGTTATTCTCATTTCAGTGGATACTTTAAAAGTGAATAGCTAACTGATGCAAGCAGCTATGAGGAAGGATGCAAAGATATTATTCAAAATATATGAATTTATTCAGTATTTGAATGAAAATGTTTCACAAATCGTCAAAAATGTTTTTAAACGGCACATTTTCCTGCATTTACAAAATATAATTGATACATTTCTGTTTAAAAAGCATCAGATTAGTCTGAAATAATCCTAGTATCCTGCTGTAATGCTTTCTTTTGTTCCAGGTTCAGTGACTTGTACAGAAATACTTGTTGACTTTGCCCACAGCCACATAGACAGCTAAACTGACGTCTGTTCCTTCACGAGCTGTATCTCCACCCGACCCTCTGAGTCCTGATGGAGGATCAGGAAGTGCTCACCATCGTAGTCGTGGCAGACGGGCGTCTCCTGCCGCTGCACGGACACCGCAGAGCCGACACACCAGAACTCTCTCAGATAGAAATCCACCAGAGTCAAATTCAAGACGCAGCAATTCTGAAACAAAATGTTGAGGAAGTATCAAGATGATTTCAGCCATAAGAACATAACCGTGTCCTACTTAGCCGGATACAAAAGGGGATGATTGTATGATTTCACAGTAAAAGAAGTGAAGTGACTGTAGCTGATGCTCGGTGCCCTTATTTAGTGCCTAATGAATGCTTGAACTTTGTTTTATTTAGTTAACCCTTCGATGCCCTTAGAGTGGCTGGACCCCGCAAGTGGGTCAAAAAGGACCCGTATTAGAATAATATGTGCTTTCATGCCATTTTTGTCCTTTTGGTTAAGAGAAATCACTTGTATAATATTTAGTATTATATTTTGGTTCACACTAGAAATATTTTATATGTAATTTTTCACTATTTATAATTTTTGACATTTTTTTGACATTTTGAAAAAAAAACTTTTTGAGCATATCGATGCAAAGATATCCGCTATTCTGAGACCCTCACAGTATTCCAGTCCCTTTTCAAAACTCATCTCTTCTCCTCTTGTCTACTCACAGCCCCCCCCC